AGGTTGGGAGGCAGAGGCCGACATTGACATCAGCCTCCTGAGTGTGTAAGTAAACCCTCCACAGTGCTTGGGCAGCCCCTTCCCTCCAGTCCGGACAGAAGCTTTCTTTCTCTCAATAAATTCTTCCTACTAAAAAAAAAAAAAAAAAAAAGAGAATGTCTGAGGCAAGGACAGGGAACCACAGGTGGATCGTCTGGTCAAGGCATGTAAAGAGACTAACTAGCTTCTGTAGCCAGAACTGAGGGCTTTTCCAAGATTTCAGTGCTAAAATGGCAATAGGCCCAGGCCAAACTAGAAAGGCCAACCATCCTGACTGTCTGAGCATTTCGAGAAATTTGGAGAGTTTGTGGAAAGCCAGGGATTAAGGTCTCTCAAAATCTACCTAGGTGCAGCACTAGACCAACAGCTTCCTGAGAAAACGCTGAGGAAAATCCAAGGAGAGAGTTTGATCACCACCTGCCAACACAGACACATACACACACACACACACACACACACACACACTCCACACATACACATACACACGCCAGCAGCCTCAAGGTGCTTCACATGTGTTTCAGCATCCTCCAGTCCATAGAAGGGGACAGAAATGACAGTTTTTTTACCCTAGCCCTTAAAAGACATTCCTAGCCATGCTGTACCTGGCCATAGTGGTTGTACTGGGCTGTTGTGTGGGGAAGATGTAGCCTCCTCGTAGATGAAGTCCGATCTTGTCTCCAGGAAGTTCCATCTCAACGTTTTGCTTTCTCCATTCCAGTTGGCCCCCCTGATGCAGGAAGATAAATCAAACACACTGGCCTGAAGCACATGGACCTGCACTGGTCACTCATGTGCTGAGTTGTCTACTGCGCCCCCCTTTCCCACTTAGCTGCATTACTGTCTACTCAAGCAATCAAACTGGAAAAGGAAAAAATTAGGAACATGCATTTCAGCAAGCTGAGAGTTTGTGAGGATGTTTATGCCGTGCTGAGGCTGGTTGATACTGTTATGGTTTAGATCTAAAATATCCCCTAAGAGTCTCATATGTTTGAAAGGTGACTGGATCATAAGCTACTGTCCTCATCAGTGGATTCGTTCATTGATGAGCTCATTACTTGAATGGTAAATGTGCTATGAGGAGCAGGAGTCTGGTTAGAGGTAGCTCACCGGGGTGTAACCTGGCAGGATTCTAGTCCCCAGCTTCTCCCTTCTCACTCTCTTCTTCCTGGCTGCGGGGGGCTGGTGAGCTCTCCTGCACCATGGCCCTCTACCACACACTTTCTGTCTTGGTGCCAGCCCACCATGGACTGAAGCCGTGAGCCAAAACAAATCTATCTTCCTTTAACTTGTGGATGTCCAGTATTTTGTCCCAGTGACCGGAAAGTGACTAAGACAGATTTATGAACTAATACTTCTGAATAAATAATCTAAACCTTAACTGATCTCAAATTGCCCATAAGCCTCTTGAACATTTGCTTGTATCATTTGTCTTTATCTAATTGCTGAATAAAATATAAATGTGCTATCATCATGACTGATATTAGGCTCATCTTATCCAGTTCCACGGTGGATGTTTCTCCTTCCAGGAAATAACTATCTATGAACTGTCTCTGGGGTCTAAAGGAGATGAAAAAAAGTCCAAGCTACTTACAGTCTCATAGTCATACCAGATTGCATCAGGAACATATGCTGTCACTTTCTCTGCACCCTAAAATTAAAACAAAATATTGTTTTTCATGAGTCAGTCTCTGAGGGGATGAAATGGATTTCCTCACATCCCTTAGGGAAATTCTTAACTATATTTAGAGAGGGCAGACATGCCTTTCTTTTCCCTATTATTGAATCATTCCTTTCTTTTGCCTTTTCTCTTATACAGATAATAGAAGCCATAACTTGACATTCCAGGAAAAATCCCAAAGGAGACAACATTAGGAATAGTAATAATAATAAAACACGTAGCATGGGAAGCATTCCAGTTTTCATCCATCATCTAGCACGAGAACTTGCCCCAGATCACACAGGTCATTAAGGGGCGGAAACAATCACAGCCTGATCCATTTGACTTTAGAGTAAGTGCTGGTCACTGCTACATTCTGCTGCTACATCACAGAGCAAGCAATGATCTGCTGTGACAATCTGACAACACATCAGACCAGTCCTAAGTTTACAATTGCCAGCAGATGCTTCCACACTGGCTCAGAATGTGGCCAAGAAAAAAGCTTCTAGAGAGGACAATGTATATCAGATACGCCAGTTTCCAAAACCACCGCACATTCTCTTCAGGGCTGACTGAGCCACAGATGTGGGAACGGGTTTGGAATAAAGAGAAAAGATCAGGGTTTGGGGTGAAGAGAGCATAGGAACAAAAGCAGAGGCCATCGGTCTCTGTGAGAACACTTGCCGCTTCCAGAACGGGAGTGATGAGGAGGCCTGGCCCCCATAAAAACTGTCGGTGCACATCCCAAGTGTTGCTATCTCCATAGAACCTAGAACCAAAGAGATAAGTCACCAAAACGTGGGCCAGTACTACTGGCAGCTCTTCCCCCAATTTGTCCAAAGCCTACAGACTGCCTGGGAAAACACCCAAGGTTACTCTATGACACCTACTTCCTCACCTCTCCCTACCCCATACAGATCCACGCTTCCCAGCCCCTGTCTCCACCTATTCTTCCTTGCGGTTGGACAGAGGTTCCTAGGTATGTGTTATAAGCAGGTCACAGGATATAATTCTAGACATATTCTTCTTTTAAAAAGTAAGATAACCAATACATTTTAGAACTTCAGCTGACTATCAAGAGGGAACTGGATATTATCACAAAAAATAATAAATAATGCAATTTTAAAACTAACTGTTTTTAAACAGAAAATTCCAGGAGATGACAAAAACTTATCCCTAAGATGACTATAGTAGTATTCCTCGGGACTGTGACTATCACACACATGATGGAATCAACTGTATTTTGACAAAGAAGGGCTTATGAGTGCCCACTTGCAGAGTGAAATCTGAGGTGCTTACTGGCTGCCATGTAAGAGTTATGAAATTCTAGAGATCTTGTAAAATATTTTTATTTGCCTGAAACTTACCATTCCTATATGAGTCCTAGCATCATAGTGCATTACAGGGGAGACTTGCAGAAACAAACCAGGCTCCCCTGACTAAAAAGGACTGGAGGGTGTAGTTCTGATAGAACACTTGCCTAGCATGCACAGAGCACTGAGTTCCCCAGAACTACAAGAAAAAAAAATACTAACAAAACTCAGGATAAAAGAGCTTAAATGAATTTTCTAAGATATAGAATTAGTTGGTAGCAGAACAAAGAAAAGCTCATGAGTCTCCCAACTTTTAAGTCTAGTTCTCTTCCCAAAGTGGTACAGGCTATAATGTTTCAATGTGCTCCCTTCAACAGTATCTAGACAGCAACAGATTTATAAATATCAACTCAGTATTGTAGTTACACAAACACACACACACTTGCTTGAATTGCTCTAATCTTCATTCTGACATTTCTATAATATGGTCAATGTCATTAAAGTTACATTAACAAAATTCCTTGGTGTGGGGAGAACTTACTCATGCAGAAGGGGCCTGGCCACTGTGTCCCCCCGGCTGTGAGCATAGTAGAAGAGTGTGTAGAGGTAAGGCAATAGAGTATAGCGGATGTTAAGGTAGTGCCTGGAGGAGTTCAACAGCAAGGAGTCAGGTCCAAATGAGGCAGGATCCTGGTCCTTGGAGGAAATAAAAGTTTGCAATTATGAATTGCCTATGGGATATCAGAAGCACCCAGAGAATTCCAGATCCCATTCATCACAACCAAGAATCTTCTTCCTGAATGGGATGTGACTGAGGTTACAATCTTTGCCTCTGAGCAGCACAGCTGAGCAAAGGGGAACCATTTCACCAACCACGTGGTCATTACAACCTGCAACTCATCCTACCTCACTCATTCTTTAGAACTGCTCTGTTAGGAGGCTTCCACGTGAATAATTTTGAAATATTTCCCCATTTGCCTCTCATTATAACATGAGTGATGTAAAAAAAGTATTTAAATAGAAAACTTTCATAAACTTGCCATTTCCTAATGAGAAGTGACAACAAGGCATTTTATGAAATAACTCAGGTCCTGGGTAATTGCAAATGTGGGGGCAAATTAATACAAGTACAGTGCAAGTGGTTGGTTCAGATTTCTTTGTGAGAATGCAGTAGCTCCATTTTAACACATGCCCAAATTTATTTTGATTATATTTTCTGAGAGTTTACCTTGAAGCCTTGGCCGTTGTGATTTCTGGAAAATGGATAAAATGCTCCCAACTGCATCCACCGCCTGCAGAGCTCCTCAGTGGTATTCAACGCAAAGCCACAAATATCTGCACCCACCTGGAAAGGCACATAGAGGGCATGTGCACCTCACTTCCACCATGCTCCTTCACTTTCTCCCAGGGACCTCTCAACTGAACTTTGCTAAAACCTCTTCCTGAGAAGGCTCATGTAGTGTGATCAGAACTGGGTAATATTCCATGCCCATGCTTTACTGCTCAATGAGTTATTCAACCTTTCTGTGCCTAAGTCTCCTCATTTCATGAAAGTGAGTTCTTTTGCTGAACAGTAACTAAAAATTGCTGATGTCATTATTTTACCACACCAGTATCAGAGTTACTTTCTAAAGCTGAACTCTCATTATGTCACTCATCTATATAAAAATCTCTCCAGAACCTTCTTGCTGCTTATGCTATTAACTCTTCAAAACCTGCTTCCAACCCACCTCTTCAGCATCACTCCCATTTCAGTGCCACACACTGGTCCTTCCAATACATCAAGTACTCCACCTCATACTGTTTTTGCCGGCATTTCTTTCTCAATCTGAAAATGAGCTTCTCCCCACACTCGTCACTTTTTCATTTAAACTTAAGTAGCTTCTTTTCTATGAAGTTTCTCCTGGTTCCTCTGCCCCTCACAATCTTATCAAAGTTAATCTCTCTCTCAGGATCTCCTCTAAAAGTTCCCCTAACAGTTAATGCATATGTTCCTATTGGCCATTTTACTACAGCTTGTCATAAGTATTTGTTGACATACATGTCTCCTTTTAATAAATTGTAAATTCTTCCAGGAAATTAAAGGTGTGTCTGTTTCTGTGTTTATACCTTTTGCCATGCTCGCCATGCTTACTTAGTTCAGCACCTTGGACACAGTAGGAGCTCAGTAACTATTATGTTGAATTTAATTAAAAGACATTAAAGCCTTTCTAGTGCTGACAATATTATCTTTCTTTATATAGGTGCTGGATTCACAGGTGTTTTCAGTGTGTGACTTTCATCTGCTATAGATAATGAAGCTGTTCACTTTTCTGTATGCTTGTATACTTTAATAGAAAGAAATATTCCAAGGATATCAAGATTCCTTTTTCTGTCTTCACAAGACAATACAGGAAAGGCTATTACAGCATCAGAGTCTTATTGATGTTGAAGTACATGCTCTCTAGACATTAAATCCCAACCTGCCCGAGTGAGGCTGTCTAAGGATTGAGACTCATCAGAGGTTGAGGCAGAGACTCACCATTGGGATACCAAAAAGGTTGAACTCAAGCATGCCAGGGATGGACCACTGAAGGTCGTCCCAGGTGGCTGCATTGTCTCCTAACCAATGGGCTGCAAACTTGCCAGATCCCGCAAAGGTAGAACGGGTTATGATGAAACTTCTCTTGCTTGGAAACACAGTCTTGACGGCTCTAGAAAGGGAGAGAGATTTAGGGGATCAATGTGTGATCTTAGCTGGTCTCACCCCAATAGATATACCAACAATGCCAACGTTATTAAAAACAAGTGAATACCCCATTCTTCTCATCTCATTCTCTCCTAAATGGGTTAGAGTAACTGTTAGGAACATTCTGCACCATTAAGTACATTTATGTTTTGCTTTATTTTAGGTACACTGTTAACCCCATAATTTTCAAGGAGTTCAAAAGCTTTAAAAAGGTTCATAACTAGAAGTATACAATTTTTCTAGAACAAATGTGAAATTTAACTTTTCACACATGTATTTACATTAATCTTTCATATAATAAGACTTCAGACATATACAAAAATGGACCTATAAACAGCCTTTTGACAGTTAAATTCTTTGTAAAACTGATAACAATCTTATAATAAGAAAATATATTTTAAAATTATATATGCATGAGTGTAGTTTATATAAGTACATATTATTTATATTTTTAAGTTACAGTCCATCTGTGTATACATAAGTAAGCACTTTTATAGGGCTATGGGAATAGCAAGTGGCAGATATTTTTTCCTTGCTCTACAACTCAAATTCCATGCATAGGTAAAAGAACACCGTAAAAAGATGCTGAATCAAAATATAAAACCCTGAAGCACATAGACATCTGGGATTTACTTAACTCTTTGTACTGTTCTTTACCCGGTTTACCAACAGGGAAAATAAACGAGCTTTAGACTCAGAGAAAAGGGGCTAAATTTTACTTTTGCAAATTATTGGTTATTTGACCTTGATTAAGTTTCTTAACTTATCTTTCCTTCTTCCAACTATCCACTCATTTGTGTATACATTTGTTCTCTCTTTTACATGTTCCACAAATATATATTGGACCCCTTCTTCCTTGTGCCAGGCAGTTTCTTCATTCTTTCAGTAATGACCATATTTGTGTGACTTTTAGCAAACACTGTATATGAGCCACGCATCATCTAGCAATCCCATAACTGGATCATGAATAAGCCTATAGAAAGAGAGGTCTCACTCTGCTGTGGCGATGGCCATGGAGTAGCCATACAGGTTGTGGACATCATACTGCTGGCCCCATTGCTGCACTGCATCCATGCAGAGACTCTTGCTGAACAGGTACCCATCTAGGACTCCTGAAGCAAAAGGACAATCAGTGAGTGGGAACACTAGATGTGTGTTTCCTACTCCTTGCCTGTCCCAGAACCTGAAAAGGTGGCTCCCAGGGCAGGCACTTGCTGTGGCCATCCTGTGAGCAATCATTCTGCCTTCCCACTCTCAGAACACTTTCATTTAAAACAGTTTAACATATAAATAAACTGTGTTGATCCCACACACCCTCCCACCTGGGCTCTGACCAGAGGCAGGCATCTAGAAACAAGGGAATTCAGTTAGTCTGGGGTCTAATCTGAATTCTGAATTCTTTAAGTCAAGTTAAATCATCCAAGGATAGAAGTATTGGATGGAAGTGTAAATTAATTTCCAACTCCTTTTTTCCCCTGATCATATAATATAAAAAATAATTTCCAATCTTGCTTTCATCCATCTCTGCTCCCACTGCAGCACTCTGGTTTAGATCCAAATCCCCTTTGGGACTTGATTATTGCCACAGCTTCTTATTGACGTATTTATTTCTACCTTATCTTCTAATTCATACTGCATATTAATGTCAGATTAACACTCTTAAAACCATTTAACTATTGTACTTTCTCTAACTAAAACATAAATAGCTTCAGTCTCCAAAAGAATGAAATCTAAACTCTTTAGCCTCCCACTAAAGCCCCTTAGTATTTGATTCTGACCTATCCTGCCCCATTTTCCTAGTTTCCCACTGGACTGAAGTCACCATAATGTGTTACAATTCTGGTAGCTTCTTTACTTTCTCCACTCACTTACAATTTGTTCTTTTTTTTTTTTTTTTTTTATAAAGGGTCTCTCTATGTAGTGCAGGCTGGCTTTGAGCACACTATGTAGCCCAGTCTGGCCTCAGACTCATGGTGATCCTCCTACCTCATCCTCTCAAAGTGCTAGGATTACAGACATGCACCACCATGCCCAGCATACAATTTATTCTTCAACCTATAACTTTCTTCAAACTGTAACCAGTGCTGTAAGACCGCACACTGAGAGATAATGTTGTTCAAACTTCAATGAAATCTTAGGAGCAACACTTTACCTGACCTCCCAGGCTTTAACTGTTCTAGCTTTAACCATGTCTGTCCTTCAAACTGTGGATATCATCAGATTTTGCCCTCCCCTGAACACCAGTGTCTTGTTGTGCACACTTAAAAGTGGCACAAAATAACCACTGATCTCTGGATTCTACCCCATGTCCTCTTTAGGTATTACACTGGAAATAGTTTGCACTGCAGGCAAAACTAGATTGACCATTTTGACTCGATGCCTCTTTAGGGTGTTTCCATTTTCTTTCCTAGTTTTCTTTATATATTACATTTCTCTTTCCTTGTGAATGCCTATGTATATAAACTCCCTTGACAGATTGTTCAGATCTATCCTCATGAATTTATGATACCAAACATGCACTAGCGCTTCAATCAGGCTGACCAGGAAGACTTACGGGGAGTGAATGGTGGATAATTGAGATTGTTTGTGGAACACCCTGAGACTGAACCATCAACAAAGTTGGAGACTTCATTCATATCCTATAGGACAAAGAGCAAAAATAACTAAGAAAAATAACATGCTCCATGATATTATACTGATGATGTCCCTTTTTTAAGAATCAGAGAAATTAGTTCAGATATTTCTTTCTTAAAAAGGACAGTTGTATTTAATATATTTACATAATATAAATTATATTTAATATAATTATTATATACAAATTGAAGGGATTCTCAGAATTTTATATATATACATTTCATCTATGTATAAAATCACTAAACACGAACAGCTTCCAAACATATTAGGCAAAAAATTCAATGTATATGATGCCACATACATCATCTTATAGTCTCTATATATCCAAATATAGCTAAAAATATATATACATATAAAGACATATATAAATGTATGCATCTCTCAAGAAAGCAATAGTGCAAGCATATGCCAAAGCTGTGAAAAAGTAAAGTCTAGAAAGATCCACATCAAAATATTAATAGCAGGTATCTTTTGTTACTGTCATTTATAGGTTTCTTGCTTCCCTCTTTCAGCTGTTTGTATGGTTTGAATTTTCTTCAGGACTCTTATAAATTGGAAAAGTTAACTCTAGCGCTCCTTAAATTTTTCTCAATATCAGCTGGGCTGCATTTGTTTTCATTTGGAAACAAGAGACATTATATGAGCCATCTTTTCTTGGAACAGACACGCTTTTGGGTGCACCTGGGTTCTTTGGTTCTGATACATTTGTCCAACATGACCAAATGAAAGAACCTTGAACTGGTAACTGGCCAACTCAGGTACTTTACGACAATGTAAGGGGTATATGAGCTACTTTGACATCAGCTCATTTTGGAGAATATTCTTCAGTTCCCACCAGCTCTAACATGATTTTTATTCTAGGCTTCATGTTTTGGTATGATTATTTGAAATAAGAAGCACTGCAATTTCTGTCATATTTGATTTATTCTTGTCCTCCTCTTGCCCCATGACTCAAAGACATAGACACAGACAGACATATAGACATAGACAGAAACAGACATAGACATAGACAGACACAGACATAGGCATAGACATAGACATAAGCAGACATAGATGTAGACACAGACACAGACATAAACATAGATGTAGGCAGACATAGACTAGACAAGACATAGACATAGACACACTGTCTGATTATTTGTTAGCTAAGAATCAAAGTATTAAATACTCACAATCCAGATTCCATCAAACCCCACTTGATTATAAAAAAGCTCAAATTCCTTTGTCCACCAAATAGTACAGCTGGGATTGGTGTAATCAGGAAACACGGTATTTCCAGGCCAGACCTGAGGAAGAAAAAAGGAAAGCACCAGTAAGAGTAAATAAAACCCAAAACGTGCAATAGATATTATGAAAGGGAAAGAAATTGCTCAAAGGAAGTAACAACTGGGATGAGGGAAAGAAGAAAGAGAAAGACAAGGAAAAGGAAGGGAAAATATAGATATAGATATACATGTGGGTAGATAGAAAGATATATAGATATATGTATATAGAAGGCTAGCTGGGATAACTGTACTGCTGAAGTCTAGAGGTTTATTGAAAGGAACAGTTAATGCCTAAATTTTTTCTTTTTGACAATTTTGCATGCTTATATCTAGTAATCTGAACAACTATAATCTGAAGACAATAATATGCAATGTAACAACCATTGGTGAATTCCTACCATTTTGTTTAGTGAAATTCTGTATTGTTTTTAATGTTTTTGTTTGTTTTTATTTTTTATTCTCTTTAATGGTCTGACCAATCTTGCATGCTTACATCTGGTAATCTAAGCAACTTCACTGAAGATAACAATATGTAATATAACAGCCACTGTTAATTCCTCTCATTTTGTTCTGAAACCCTGTATCATTTTTATTGTTTTTATTTTTGTCTATATTGTTGGTGTTTTGCTATTGTTCTTTTTTATCACTCTCTTTAAAATAAAAAAGAGTAAATTAAATAAATATAGAGTAAAATAAAGTACTATACATAGAAATTACTAATTTAATCATGAGTACAGAGGAGGCCAGGCTCAAGTCCTGTTAAATTAGGAAGGTAAATCACTCAGGATATAGACTACTGAAAATAAATATGGGAAGATATCAGAAAGATACTTAATCAAAATGTTTTTGTTTTGTTTTTTGTTACAGCCACCACCACCATCACTACCCTATTTTATTTTTTAATTTTGTGACAGGGTCTTGCTAAATTGCTCAGTTTCCCAGGCTTGGATTGAACTTGTAATCCTCCTGCTTCAGCCTGCCAGACTGCTGGAATTACAGTAGAGCACCACAGCACCCAAATGAAAACTATTTTTTAAAGAAGTTCTTATTAAATAAATCCATGAATAAAAGCCTTATATGATTTATTAATCTTTGACTCTAGCTTATCCTCCTTATCACTTTCTTTAGTCTTAATTCTAGAAATAGTGAGGAACACTCTGTAAATGGGTCCATTACAATCTGTGAATTCTAATAAGGTTTGCTTTTCTCTATTCCTTCCCTATCCAACTTCCTTCCTATACCCATTCTAAAAGGGTTATCTGAGATACTAGAAGTGAACCAACAAGGTCAAATAAGACTTGAGAAATAAGTGGTCAAACTTAAAACAATGCAGAAAAGCTGAATAAGAAAGAGGCATGAAACATTTACACTGGATTTACCAAGTAGGTGGTAACTTGTGCCGATTACCAGAGCAGTGTCAGTAAAGCTACGTGGAAGAAAGCAGATGCAGTACACTGAAGAGGGGATAGGAGGTGTGGAAGTGCGCTCTCATTGTGATAGCTCTTGTTTAATGGAAACTGGCTATGGAAGGCATGGAAGAGGATGTAAAGGGTACATGTGAAAGATGGCTGGTAGACACTTGCGGATGAAAGAGCAAAGCAAAATTTAGCCTCAGCAAACACCACACATCTGAAAATGGACAATCACACACACACGTGCACACACACACACAGGAGTCACAGCTTCTCCACAGACCCCAGTTCCCAATTAAGTTACCTCTCCAATAATTGGGTTCTGTCCATCTGAACTATTCACCCATATCTTCATTGCTGAGCCCCGGTCATATGGCCCATAGGGATTACTTGAGGAAGAGTTGTTGGAGATGGCTGGATCCTAAGAAGGAAAAAACACAAAGAAGAAACTAGCTTTAAATTGGAGGCACTGAAAGGGGACCGGGAATTTCTGGATCCAAGAAGCAGGTGTGGGTGCTGTGATAAAAAACAGTAAATATCTGATTTGAAAGAAAAAGTGCTTAACACATACCACAATGATGACAAGTTTCTGTCCATTATTGTGTAACTCTGTAACAAAATCAGGGAAGCCTCTATAGTTCACTGGATCATAAGTGAAGTCTTTCCTCTCATCCATATAATCAATATCACCATGCTGAACATCCTGGAGGAGTACACAACACCAACAATTTAGCACCTTGACTTTGCCTGTTAAAATGACCTGGTCTAATTATCAGTGATTATTGAAGATATATTCAACTCTGGGCTGGGATCAAGCAGAGTTCTTACCCAGTTCTTAACCAACTACCCATTGTTTCTCTAAGGCCTGGCTCCACCCTGCAATCAAATAAACTGGATCATTTATGACAATCACTAAAGTTATCTAGTAAATTTCACACTGTCCACAAGATAAAGGAAGGAGGGGTCTCTCTCTGTTGCTGCAATTTCTCTCACTCACTTTACTGCCCCACAATGTGTTTTTTTATTTGTCTTTTATTTTAAGTCTTCGGTATTTATCCTTTCCTAATTCTACCTGTGGAGCCGGAATGAAGCTTACTCTAAGGCCCAGCCGTCCATTGGGTTCTGTCCCAGGGAATGCACTGGGGAGAGAAGGGTTATTGCAGAACTCTTATCCTTTCTATGTCTTCTAATACCTCATTGTCCATAGAGTTCCTAGTGTAATAGGCACATTCAAATTTTGCCACTTGAAGCATAGACATGTGATCTAAAAATATGATTGTTTAATTTTTTTAAATTATTGTAATAAAAGATACATTGCCATTAATTCCTCTCAAAACATCTCCTCACTTCAGACAGAACTCATGTAGCCCTTTGTTCTTGCCATTTAGTGACAAGTTCTGGAAGTCCTTTTCATGGCTTTTGTTGTACTGTCCTGGCTGCTTCAATGTCCTGAATCAATTCAAAACTTCTACCAGGTGCCAGAATAAAGTGGATGAGGACACATGGCAATGTTTTTATAAACTTGTTTTTATGTTGGATGGTGCCCAGTAGCAGCATTCACCATCATTTCAATTATACCTTGTAAAGACACTCAGGAAAGAGGACTTCCAGAACTGCTCCAGAAAGTGGCAAGAATGATGGGGTAAGTGTGTTAGAAGTGAAGGGGAGCATTCTCAGGGAAATTAATGGCAATATGTCCTTACTGTAATACAGTTTTAATTTATTTATGGTATTTTTTATGACCCCTAGTATTTTATAATTGTATGTATATACTATATACTTCCATTCACTTAATCCTAGCAGAATTCAACTCCTATACTCAGTTAATAGTTTTCAGTTCCAGGTCTCAACGCTCCCTCTCACATATCACTTCCTTGTACAGCAAAAAGTCCAATTCTTTGATTTCCGATATAATTTAAGAAGGACATGGCTGTTGATATGTAACAAGAATGACATAGAAAGTAGAGAGACACTATGATGTTAGAGATCTGAGTTTGAAAAACATTTCCGTGGGTTTTCTAACACTAAACATGATTCATGATCTTAAATGGGGTTCTAATACTAGAATGGAATTTTTGAGACAGGTAAAAATAGCATTGACATCATACCTACCACAGTGTACACTGCATGGTAGCTCTCATTGGTATGGACGTTGTATTTATATCTTTTACCTCAATCCTGCCCTTCCCACCTCATTTGACCCTCTCCTCCTCACCTCCACCATTCCCACCCCTAAATATATAAAGCTGCTGAAGGCTGGTGTGGCCAGCAGGCTGTGCTCTACTCTGAGCAACTCCATTTTATAATTGATACTTTCTCCTGAGTTACTCCATGTTGAGTGCAACTGCAAAAGCAAAATGTCTTGGTAACATCTCTGTGAAAACAGATAACTAGCAGACATTGGATACACCAAATTTATTAAAACTAACAACCCCTAGCTGCACAGAATAGTCATAAGTCATAAACTCATAGATCATCATGTTGATGCAAAATTATCATCTGTGTATTTACTCAATTAAATCAGGGGCACATTATGTATCGAAGCCATAGTGTAGAATACTAGATCCCTGAGCTTATCAGACACACCAGACTAATGAATCATGCAACTTTTCACTTGCATCATATAAAAGGAGGGGTACACAACATAAGGGTCTGGACACATACGTTTGGATCTGTCATCTTATCCATCCACTGGATGAATGCAACACAAGTTCAAACACCAGCTCTCTGTCCCCAGGCTTTAGTTCAGCTCCATCTCCTTGCTAGACCTGGCTCATTCCAAACTACCTGCTGCCCAGATTCAGTCTCTGAACAAGTTCTGTACTCTAATGGCTCAGCAGGCCCTTGAACATGTTCTGCCAGGTTTTTCATCTTATTTGGACACCTGCTTTTGCTTTGAAGCTTGTGACTGCTATTAATCCTTACTTAGCCTTTATGAAACCTATATATTATTGGGTGGACTGTGATATATGACTCAAGTGTTACAGATACTAGTAATTAAGGAGAAATTTTATATGTATATATATACAGGATAGTTAGCATAGTTGTTCTACTGTCTTCTATTTCTTTGCTGAAAGAAACTGTCAATGAGTCCTTGATTGATCAATATTGCATGTCTCTATCTGTTTTCATGAGAAACCACTTTGAAGATAACAATATGTAATACAAGCATTGTTAATTTCCTACCACTTTGCTTGTAACTCTGTATTGTCTGTACTGTTCTTTTGCTATTTTGTAAAAGGCTGTCTGTCTGTTAATGTTTTCCTCCTTTTATTTTTAAAATAAAAAAAACAGATTGGAAAGCAATAAAAGAACTTGTGATTGCCCTGCTCATGGTTATCTAGCAAAATCTAGACACTCAGGTAATTAAAACTGACAAAATTGTTTATGAACTTCTGCTTATGAAATTAGTTTGTAAATTTATTGTGATTCAATAAACTGACATCATGGAAAGACACAAAAATGCCTAGTCTATGTTGATGGTGTATCCTATTCATAGCAATGGGAGAATAAAAAGTAGTGGGACCTGTGGCCAAAATTGAGTGAATCATCCACCCAGATGTCTTCAACCTCTTTTTCTGCTTTCCCTAGGTGGTCTTAATCATCTTAAATCAAAAATCTGTTATGAACTTTTTTTTACACTTCAATTTTATGGGCTTTCTAAATCCCAATTTCAAAATGTCTACTGAAGTTATATCTCGAATACAAATAGCCACAAAAGAAAAGAAAACTCTGTTTATTGTCAGTTCAGTAGCAATCAAAATACCAATGCAAAAACAGATGGAACTAAAACTTGTTACTTGAGTCTTTCAATCCATTTAATTATGCAGTGTAAGTTCTGTCACCAGTAGGCTACTACACAGTCTCAGTCAAGGTATTTCCCCTAACTTAGCTTCAGTTTCTTAGCTATCCAAAAAGCTTGTAACCTATATGACTGAGGATTGTTATCCAGCATTTTGGCCTAATCCCTGGGACCTAAAATTACTTCCCTTCAAATATAGATTAATGCACAATAACTGGCAAGGGGTAAAGGAATCAGGAATCTGCACCACTCATTTCCTGAGATGAAGCATAAGAATCAAGTTTATCCCAGAACTTTGGAGGAATTCTAAAGATATAATATCACATTTATTGTCAATACCCACCATGAAGCTTTTGAGTCAAAACAATCCAACCAAGAAAGAATATCAATGGTGAGATGTACCTAAATTGGTAAGTATTAAAAGGCTATATTCCAGGCTGGAGAGAGTACTAAGTACTCTAATAACAAAATCACAGTATGTAAAATGTAGTCAATATAACAGCATAAAAAATCTTACTATTAAAGCATATAATAAGACACACAAAGATAAAACTAAGTTGTCTCCTCACTTGTAATGGTAATCTCTACCACTTCCCACTAGACAGAACCAGAATCCCTTGAAAACATGGTTGGCACAATAAGTATAACTAACCATCTCAGTATGTAAAAATCTTTTTACTACAAAAAAAGAACCTGGTCAATATATGCAAATCAATCAATGTAATACACCATATCAATAGAGGCAAGGACAAAAATCACATGATCATCTCCACTGATGCAGAAAAAGCCTTTGATAAAGTCCAACACTCATTCATGTTGGGAACCCTACAGAAAATCAGAATAGATGGCCTTTACCTTAAGCTGATCAAAGACATGTATTCTCAACCAACAGCTAACATCATACTAAATGGTTAAAAATTGAAAGCTTTAACTTTAAAATCAGGAAGAAGACAAGGGTGTCCACTGTCACCACTCCTATTCAATACAGTTCTGGAAATATTGGCAAGAACAATTAGACAAGAGAGAGAAATAAAAGGAATAAGGATAGGGAAGGAAGAAGTGAAATTGTCATTATTCACAGATGACATAATACTCTACATAGAAGACCCCAAAAACTCCACCAAAAGGATCATGGATTTAATAACCAAATTCAGTAGCATAGCTGGATACAACGTTAACACTCAAAAGTCAGTAGCATGCCTGTACACAAGTAACAAACAGACTGAGAGAGAAATTAGGGAAACTACACCTTTCACATTAGCATCTAAAAAGATGAAATACTTAGAAATCAATCTAAAAAAAGAAGTAAAAGATCTATACAGTGAAAATTATAGTACTCTGAAAAAAGAGATTAAAGAGGATATCAGAAAATGGAAAGATATTCCTTGCTCATGCATAGGAAGAACCAACATTGTGAGAATGGCCACACTCCCAAAATTGTTGTACAGATTCAATGCAATCCCAATTAAAATACCATTAGTATAATTTATAGATCTAGAGAAAGCACTCCTGGAGTTCATCTGGAACCAGAAGAGGCCTAGAATAGCAAAAGCAATCTTGAGAAACAAATGAAAGGTAGGAGGCATCACAATTCCTGACTTAAAACTATATTACAAAGCTACTGTGATAAAATCAACATGGTACTCGCACAAAAACAGACCTGAAAATCAATGGAACAGATTAGAAGATACAGATACAACTACAAACACACTCAGTTACCTGATCTTCGACAAAGGGGCCAAACATGCTCAAAAGAAGAAAGATAGCCTGTTTAATAAATGGTGCTGGAAAAATTGGCTTTTCACATGCTGAAGACTAAAACTAGACCCATGTCTTTCACCATGCACTAAATTAAAGTCAAAATGGATCAAAGATCTAAACATTAAAACAGAAACACTAAATTTATTGGAAGAGAAAGTAGGTAAAAGTCTTGAATACATTGGGGTAGGCAGAGAGTTCATGAACAAAACCAAACTGCTTAGGAAATACTTCAAAGAATCAACAACTGGGATCTCATCTTATTGAAAAGTTTTTGCACATCGAAAGAAATCACCAAGAAAGTAACAAGAAAATCCACAAACTGGGAAAAAATTTTAGCCAACTACCCCTCAGACAAAGGACTTCTATCTAGGACATATAAAGAATCAAAAAAAACCAGGCCTCCCAGATTCAAAGACCCAAGCCAAAAATGGATATCTGATATGAATACACACTTCTCAAATGAAGACATACTAATGGTGAATAAATACATGAAAAAATGTTCAACGTCATTAGTCATTCGAGAAATGCAAATTAAAACAACACTGAGATTCCATCTCATCCCAGAAAGAATGGCTATCATCAAGAAATTGACCAATAACAAATGTTGGAGAGGATGTGGGGAGAAAAGAACCCTACTCCACAGCTGGTGGGAGTGTA